GGACACAGACCAAAGGTTTGAGGTGTCACCTGAGTCCAGATCAGCATGGCAATAATCTCTCTTTGGTTTCCAGGCTAGTCTCTCCCAAGCATTCAAAACTCTTCTGAAAATGCCTCTAGACACTGGCTATTCTCAGATGCAAGGTACTGTGAGTTCTTGGGAGGCAGGAGTCACTCTTGGGAGGCAGGAGTCAGCTCAACTCTGTTCTTCAGTCTGCAGCATACAAGACTAGGCCTTCCAAGGGCTCGAGGAACTTTTCAAACATTCATGGAATCAGAGGGAAAAGAATGACTACCTTTGAGTGAGGGGTGACCTTGGGTACAATTCCAGCCATATCTCCCAGTGCTCCCCTTCATCAATCTTGTCAGGAGCCAAGTTGGAGAACGTCCTGTTTCCTGTACACGTGTCATGCTTGCCCACCATCCTGTCATCCTATTGTCATGCCATCAAACTTCCTATCATCATGGCACTGCCTCTACAGATCCCACTGTCATTTTACTCCACCAACCCAATCATGTTTGTCTCTGAAAGTAGAGCTCATATGCTGTCCTCTTGAGGCAGCTTCTCAATCTAGAACGGTCCACTAAACTTCCAGAGCACTTTCACCTTATCCCTTTTCTCTCTTAGGATGACAGGTACCTCACACCATGTCTTATCTCCTCCTCCTGGACCACCAGCTTCTCCCAGGCCAGGACAGTGGTGAATCAGCTCTCTGCCCTCTTCCAGCTTGTAACACAGTGCTTGGCATTCAGTACATAAGTACATACTCAATAAATATTTAAGAAACACCATAATAACTCCAAGTGAGTTATTCATTGTTGCAGAGAACTCTAATTGTCCCTTAAAATCCATTCTCTCTTCCTTGGGCACAAAGCTAGACTTCATTTCCCAGCCTCCTTTACATTAGGTGTGGCCACATGGCAGGTTCTTGCCAGTGGAAGAGGAGTGGAAGGAATGTGTGATACTTCTACACCTAGTCCACGAAAACCTCCCACATGCATCTCTCCATGCTCTTTCCCCTTCTGTCGACTGCATGCTGATGGTGAGGAGGTCCTCAGGAAAGGTGAAGAAGGCACAGGATGGAGGAATCCTGGGTTCCTCAGTGACCACATGGAGGAGTGCTTCTCCCTACCTGCATACCCATTCAGCACTGTTGTGTGAGCAAAAAATTATATATAGTGTTAATCCATGAAATTTAGTAAGTTACTTGGTACTTCAGCATTACCTAGTTAATGCATTCACTTAACAACTTAATCACAGGATTAACTTAAGTATTGTCCTCGCACACGTAACATGAGCAGAAGACATTTTGGCCTTGCTGTTTTTATTCCTCCATTCTGATCCACTTTTGACTCACCCATTTTACCTCAAATAACTTTGACTGCCCAGATTGTTGTGATTCCACGCTTGATAAAACATTGAAGTCAGAATCATGCCAACGTTTAAATTTTTTGTGGAGAAAGCAAACTTAAATAAGATTTAAAATTTTTGATCCATTTAAAAAAATATTGTACAGTAAACCAATTCTGATTTATCCACTTTCATTTTTAATTCACTGTAGTTATTCTTGTCTGGGTCAATTGTTTTACTATTTAAATGATTTGATTTTTGTTCACAGCATAATTTACTGACTATAGGTTCTGCTAATGTAAGTTTTCTTTAGAGATTATTTTTTCTATCAAGTCAGCTTTCCTGGGTCAAATTTTGCATATCAAAATGCTTTCAAATATATTTTTTCTTCCATCGATTTTTAGTCCTCAATAAACTTTACCATGTGGAGTTTTAACCATTACCAGTTTTATTCCTTGTTGATTATTCTTACTGGTAACATACACCATGTGGGAAAAAGTGTCCATAGAATCAAAATGGTGGGGTCAAATCATTATACTTCTTCAATTTACCAAGATTCAATTTTGATCCAGCTTTTTAGGAACATTCTGCTTGCCTCAAAGACTTCATAACACCAGTCCCCACCCCGTTTATAAAATATAAAAGGATTTTCTTAGAGGTACTTACGAGGTACAGGCAGATGAAAGCCAACACTATGGTCCCAATCATTCTGCTTGGGAATTGAAAGCAGGGGTCCCACTCATATATCCTGGTTTGG